AGACATCATATATTTTATTTTTGTCATTTTCTCTTGAATGAAATCCTTAAAGAGAACACTACTTAAAACTTAAATATTAGCTATCCGTTATACCTATATTTAAAAAGACATACCTTAATCATTATCAAAATAGAATATTAACTAAATAACTTTATCTGAGTCCTTTATTACTAATTGCATCTGCCCCTTGGGTTTGACTGGCTTCAGGCTGACCTAGGTTTTATGGCTCTGGGGAGTTGGGAATTTCTCCAACACAGCTGGCCCCTGAGTTCCTCTATGTGGGTCATAAAATCCTAGTTTTTCTCCAGTAGTTGTCAACAGGCTACACTGTTAATGAGCCAATTCTGACTCACAGTGAGCAACCCTATAGGACAAGGTAAACTGCACTTGTGGGCTTCTGAGCCTGTAACCCTTAAAGAAGTAGAAAGCCTCATCTTTCTCCCTTGGAGCAGCTGGTGCTCTTGAAATCCTGACCTTTTGGTAAGCAGATCACCTCACCTAAACTTTCTTAATTCCTTGAGAAACGGCAGTAAGTATATTATTGGGCTGGGGCCAGTCTTTTCAACCTTCTGCAGAGATTTGAGGATGCTTTACAGAAGAGTAGGACCCAACTATGATAGAAACATCTAGAGTGGTTACTTTCTACTAAGGAAGTGTGTGTGTGTGTGTGTACGTGTGTGTGTGTGTGTGTGTGTTCCCATAATTAACAGACATTTACAAAAATGTATAGCCTCCAAATGTTTAAGCCTAGATAATGTTTTAAGGGTTTTTCTGCACAATTAAGCTAACTGATGGCATTTTAAAAAATGCAATTTCAGACTGATTTTGTCATAGGCACAAATCTTTATTAACAAGCACATGTTCATGTCTATTTTCTAAATGGTGGATTTCTTTTTCCTCTGTATGTTAAGAGAACCCCCAGGACAGTGGTAGATGATCCTGAAAGACAGATTAAGACTAATATTCCAATGGCTCTTTAAGAAAACGTTGTATTGTAATTTGAGTGAAAGTTTCTAGAGAAATTCATTTTCCATATAACAATTTATACACATTTTCTTTCATGATATTAGTTGTAATTCACTCAATGTAATAGCATTTCCTTAGGGACTCCCCATTTACAATGACCCTATGAAGCACTCTCTGTATCAAATTAATATAAATACTAGAAAATTTTATAGGAGCTTGACATGACAGAATATTAATTGTCCCATATCCACTATGTACCAATGTATAGAAATACGAAATTATAGTAAGTTATATTAACATCAATACTTTTTAGAATCATTTTCATTTTTCTGCTTTTGTTAGATGATTATTAGGTGTTTTTACTTAGAGATTTAAGATCTCTATGATTCTTCAAAAAGTTTTCCAAGCCCAATGATGAGCTGGTTATATGTTGTCATTATTGTTTCTGTTGTTAGGTCTAAGTAATAGAAAGCCAATGTCCAACAGAATAATAGCGTGCCAGATGCTGTGCCATTCTCACAGTTGTTTTTATGCTTGAGATCATGGTTGCAGTCACTGTATCAATCTACCGCATTGAGGGTCTTCCTTTCTGTTAACCCTCTACATTATTAAGCGGGTGTCCTTCTCTAGGGGCTAGTATCTCCTTATGAGCATCCAGTACAGGAGACAAATTCTTGTCATCTTCACTTTTAAGGAGTCTTCTGACAAACTGTATATTTTCCTATAATTATTCTAGCTAATATTTTTCTTAGCTCTCTAACTCCTAATAAACAGAGCCCTTCAGTCAAATCTTGATGGCTATAGTCCTGATGAAGGGAAAAGCCATACAGACCTCATAAAATAAGCACATAGCTCATACACCTCCTTCTATCTTGATTTTAATTAAGAACTTTCATAAAATTCAATCCTTACTGTAACCCTAGGGCAGCGGTCCCTTTGGGGGTCAAACGACCCTTTCACAGGGGTCACCTAAGACCATCGGAAAACACATATTTCTGATGGTCTTAGGAACCAAGACACGGCTCCTCTAGCAATCTCCAGGTGGATCCACCCACATCCAGATGCATCCCCTTACGAGTTCCCAGCATGAAGACTATTACCCATGCTACACCATGCTTCCAGACAAAATTTCATTTATTTGTAATTAGAAATAAATATTTCACAAGATAGAATTACATATTATTTTGTGATTAATCACTATGTTTTAAGTATGTTTCATTTCTAACAACGAAAATGCATCCTGCATATCAGATATTTACAGTACAATTCATAACAGTAGCAAAATGGCAGTTATGAAGTGGCAACAAAAATGATTTTGTGTTTGGGGGCCACTACAACATGAGGAACTGTACAAAAGGGCCACGGCATTAGGAAGGTTGAGAATCACTGAACTAGGGGCTAGAAATGAAAACAATAAATGAAACCCAAGATTCTAGAGGCAAAGGAAACATTTCAACCACACTTTTATCTAAAATGTGTGAATATTTGCAAGAATGATATAATTTTTCACAGTTCTAAGAGGCTTTCTATAGAGTTTCTTGGTGTCTACTCTTACATTATTATGTTTTCTTTCTTTCATTTTTCAAAATTTTCTTGTGAATCAGGTGACATTTACAGAGCAGATCAGTGGGCTACCCTGATTAACAGTCATTGAGATTGTGGGTATCTCTGTCTTGTACATTAGCTAAATAATTTGCTTTGAATCTTTACTACATCATACTTATTGCATTATTGAAAATCTCCTTTTTCTTAGCTTAAATTGAAAAAGTTATAAATCGATACAATCAAATATATCTTGGATCCCTCTGAGTTATTGTTATTGTTTCCATGTAGCTGCTTAATTAGTGAATTATAATTCAAATGTTTCCAATGTTGAACCATATTTAATGGTGGATTTAACTATTTTAATATATTGCATGATTAGATTAGCTAATATTAGATATCCTTATTTGATCTAATCCAGTACTTTTTCTTTTAAAAGAAAAGGTTACTGTTGTCAAGTGTCATCCAGCCTGCTCTGACATAAGCTCTAACATGTCATCCAGCCTGCTCTAACAGAAAGTAACTCCGTGTCCAATGAATGAAAGATAATCAGGTCATGCACCATCTTGAAGCCATCTTTGTCCTATTGGAAATAGCTTAGTTTCTTTTTATAACTCCATGAGTGAAATACGAGAAAATTTATTAAAGTTCTGGGTGCAAGAAAATTTATTAAAGTTCTTCAGCAAATGTTTCTTGTACTTTTAAATTTCCAATTTGTGTTTGAGTTTCATCTATAATTTTTAATCAGCTTTAGTGAAATTCTCATTCTCTAATATCATACAGGAATTCTATATTTTTATTTTGAAGGATAAAGTAATTTATAATTTTATTTGTTATTTTTATAATTACTTTTATTCTCCATGGAATGTCCTAGTTTTGGGTTATTGTGTATTTCTGTCTTAGTTATGTTGTTTTTATGTTTTATGTTTGCTTTCCCTTGCATAAATACTTAGATCTTGTTCACATGTGACTGTCTTTATATTTTTCCAATTCCATTTATCTTTTTAGTTTATTCTGAAATTAGGTACTATAATATCTTGAGTTAAATGATCAACCCATTAATTTCTGAACTACTTTTTGTTTGAAATATATACAGCTTTATCAAAATGATTTTAATTATATACCTAAAATTTAAAAATTCTCGTTCTTTACTTTTGTTATTTCTATTATTACTTTACATTGGAATAATTTATCATTTCATAATACTGTTACTTTTTTCACATATGCATATTTGTTATGTGGCTTTTATATTACAATGCTTTTGCATTCTGACTTATTATTTTAATGATACCAATTTTTGTTGTTTCTTGCTTTTGATTTATGGTTGAAATTCATAAATATTCTGTGTACTTAAAAATAGGTGAGCTCTTATTTTTGCCTGTAGTTTTATTGAATAATTTGATGTTAACAGACTCTCTTGCAAAATATTTATGTCACACTCATTGTTGATGCCATGACTGGTCTACTCATTGTAGGGATGTCTAGATTGCTATAAGAAACATCACTATGCCTAAGTTGGGGAATTTTTCTTCAATCTTCTTTAGTTATTGTTCAGCTTTTGTATGCATATGAGACGATTGGAAGTGTCATAGCTCAGGTCAGGTGTATCTTCATTTTCAAAGTGGTGTCTTTGATTTCTAATACTTTAAAGAGGTCTTTATGGCAAATTTGACCAAGGCAATATGCCATCTCATTTCTTGATTACTGCTTCCATGGACATTTACTTTAGATTCAAGTACCAGGAAATCCTTGATAGCTTCAATATTTTCTTTAACACATCACTAACATTTTTGTATTAAATTTCACACTGTAATATTGGTATATTAATCTACCTTATAAATTTAAAATTAAAATTGTAACACACTTAAGAGTATTTTACATGATTTCAAGTATTTACATAACAAGATTTAAAGTTACTTGGTATGCTCATGTGTTATCTGAAAAGTTTTCATTCACACATAGCTCCACTTTGAGTCTATGTATTGTCTCTAAATAAATGTTTTGAGAAACGATGTACAAAGGCACTTTATACAATTGATGTGTGTATGGATTGGGATAACAGTTGTATGAGCCCCTAATAAAATGTTAAAAAATAAATAAATAAATAAATCAAAACCAAACATAAGCATTCAGACATTAGTACAGGTTCACTTCCATCTTGTCTTGCTTCCATGACTTACTAGATTGAAGATTATGAGCAATAATCTGATTTTTTCCAAATTTCTTTTTTTTTTTCTGTTAGGAGAAGGGGGAAATAATATGACCTGTCTTACAGAAATTTTGTGATGATTAATTAAGTTAGCTCGTCAAATGTGTTATCACAATCCTTGTTTCCCAAAAATATCCATCATATATTCGTGGGATGATAGGAATAATAAAACTAATAGTGATCTAACTTTTACAATCATGATGATGAGCAATTGTTCTTTTCAAATATCGTGATGAAAAAAATCAAGAATATTAACCTTTAACAATTTTCCTCTTAGGTAAAGATGTTCCGAGTTGCCAGAAATTCCAACAACTCTAGTTTCCAGGTCTCTGAATTCATCCTCATGGGATTCCCAGGCCTTCACGAGTGGCAGCACTGGCTCTCCCTGCCCTTTTCTCTGCTCTACCTCTTAGCTCTTGGTACAAATCTCCTTATCTTGATCACCATCAACCAAGAGACAGCACTAAACCAGCCTATGTATTCTTTTCTGGCCATCCTGGCTGTGGTGGACATGGGCTTGGCTACCACTATCATGCCTAAGGTTTTGGCCATATTATGGTTCAATGCTAAAGTCATCAGTCTTCCTGAGTGTTTTACTCAGATGTATGCCATACATTGCTTTGTGGGCATGGAGTCGGGAATCTTCCTCTGCATGGCTATTGATAGATATGTGGCTATTTGCCAACCTCTACGATATCCATCAATAATTACTGAGTCTTTTGTGGTCAAAGCAACTGTAATCATGGTACTCAGAAATAGCCTATTAACCATTCCAGTGCCAGTGTTGGCTGCTCAGCGACACTACTGCTCCCAAAATCAAATTGAGCATTGTCTGTGCTCTAACCTTGGAGTCACTAGTCTATCCTGTGACGACAGGACCATTAACAGCATCTACCATCTGATTTTGGCTTGGACACTCATGGGTAGTGATCTTGGTATGATCATTTCATCATATATTTTGATACTCCAGTCTGTGCTAAGATTGAATTCAGCAGAAGCTGCATCTAAAGCACTGAGCACCTGTACTTCCCATCTCATTCTTATTATTTTCTTCTACACAACTGTTGTTGTCATTTCTATTATTCATAGTGCAGCAAAGATAATTCCCCTCTTCCCAGTTCTACTTAATGTGTTAAGCAATGTAATTCCCCCTGCCCTCAACCCCATGGTCTATGCACTCAAAAACAAGGAGCTCAGGCAGGGGTTGGTCAAAGTACTTAGACTGAGCATCAAAAACTGCTAAGGTGAAGATGGTGCTCCTGTTTGTTGATTTCCCCACATCCTTACCAAGTATTTTTATTTAAGCTTGCATCATGACAAAAGATAAAGAAAAGAGACACCATGTCAAATATTCATTAGTATAAGAATCAGTGACTACTACTGAAACTTCTAAAAAGTCAGAGGATAGGCCAAAGTAATATTTGGTATCCTTACAAGTTAATAAAAAATCAATTAAATATTGTTGGTTTTAGGTGCTGCCAAGCCAGTTTTGACTCATAGTGAGTGTATGAACAACAGAATGAAACACTGCTTAATCCTACACCATCTTCACAAATGTTAATGCTTGATCCCATAGCTGCGGCTACTGTTAATGTATCTCATGGAGAGTTTGTCAGTTTGTTGTGCAGTGATGGCTTGCTTGTTGATGTGATATTATATTTCAAACACCAACAGGGTCACCCAAAGTGAACAGGTTTTATAAGAGCTTCCAGAACAACAGAAAACAATGAAGAAAGAGTTGATTGCTCACTGTGAGGAGTTATCCACAGAAACATTATGAATCGCAATGGGACATGTCAGATATACTGAAAACCTTACAAATCGAAGCAGAACATTTTCTGCTTAGTTACAGAAGAGGAGGCCCTAACATCAGGAAGGTACTCAGAATCAGATGAGGAAAACAGCCTTATCAAAGTAGAGGCAATCATAACGACATGCATGGAAGAAAACTCTCAGGAATTTAATTTGGATTACTGAAAATGAAAAGAAACACCTTCAAACAACCTGTAATAAGTAGAACATGGAATTTACAAAATATGAACCTAGGAAAATTAGAAGTCAAAATTCAAATGAAATGCATAAAGAGGAATAGAGTAAGCATGAATGAGCTGAGATGAATTGGTATTGGCCATTTTGAACCAAGCATCGATATGATTTACTATGCTTGTAATGACAAATGCCAGAGGACCAGCATCCCATTATTGTTGAAAAGAACTTTTCAAGATCTATCTTGAAGTGCAATGCTTTCTATTATAAGATATTACCCATATGCATACAAATAAATCCAATTAATGCAGTTTAATAAAATAGGTTAGCATATTATAACAATGTTGGTTGTTCCCAAAAATCCAAGAAAAACACAACTGGAATATGTGGCCTGACTTCCTCAGGTTTATCTTATGTGTCTTTTTATGATTTTTTTGCATTCATTTTTCTTGCTGAAGAATATTTTTTTCATGTTCATTTCTCAGTCTATGAGGGAAAAATACCTACTTTCAAAATGGATAATCCCTATTAGATAAGACAATTTATAATGAGTTGGCATTTATGTCTTTATGCAGTTACCCGGATAAGTTTTCTTATTACTCTTGCTTGGTTTGAGTAATCCATTCCTGTATAATTGACTATGGCTCAAGAGTCATGTCCTTAATGGATTAATAATTAGAATGACTAAGAATTTCTTACAGTCCCAACAAACAAGAACTCATAAAATAATGAACATAGCACACTTTCATTGAACCTATGGATAATAATATAATATGAATTCCTATGGTGGGGAAAAACCTAAACACTTTTACAACTTGGTAAAACTTTAAACAATGTATATCATTTGAGTTTCTTCATATTTTGAACGTGTTAAGATTTACTGAATATTATGTAGTCTGTGGTTTCTTGCAATTGAAGGATGACTCTCAATGTTTCACGTTGCTGAATTGATAGTGGGTGAAAAGTCAGATCCCACAAAGAGGAGGAATGTTAGTGAACACGTAATCAAAACAAAAGAAAATAAAAGAAACAATACTCAATATAATTTACATGGGAAAAAGAGGCATTTTCATAATTACACTATCTATAAAATAATAATAGATATTAGAAATGAAAAATCATCAAAACTATTATTCATACAGCCAGCACAATGGTTTTATTATCCTTAAAATACATCGAAGATGATTAGAGCTAAAAGACCATGTTTTTGCCCAAGATACTTATTTTTTATTTATTATTTATTATTTACTCTTCCATCTTAGAGTACTCATTATTTTATGGATTTTTCTTCTACTCAAAGCATTCCTTATTTAATTCAAGCTTATTTGGGGCACTTTCTAAGTCATTTCAGTGCTTACTCGAATGGTTCTTGTTTAAAACCCAGACCCTAAAGGCAACCTTACTCAACCTGGTGAACAATTCCATAGGGTTCTCAAGGATGTATGTAATTTAAAAACAGTTTTATTAGCATATGATTCACAAATCATACAATGAAATAATTCTCTAATATTAAGAAGAGTCCACAATTAAGATGTGTATTTTTTATAGAATTCAGCTACCACATCTTTCTCCTGAGGAAATAGTAGGTGAGTACAGCCCACTAACCTTTTTGGTTAGCAGAAAAAAACTTAACCACTGAATTATCAGGATCTCTCTGTGTTTTGATCAGGTGCCATTTAAAACGATAAGACTCTCATCTCAATATCAGGAGTGTTGGGTTTCCTCAAGATGATTAGAATGATCTGCCATTTGAAATCAGGAGGGCCAAATTTGCCCAAGTACAGAGTTTTGAGGAGTCGGGATGCTGGAAGTTATGTCACTAGTATTTCAAATGCCAGCAAAGTCATTCAAGGTGAGCAGGCTTCAGCAGAGCTTCCAGACTAGGAACAGAGGACAGAAGAGGAATACGCTATCCACCTCAGATGAGTAAACCTCAAAAACCCTATGGACAGCAATAAAATGAGTAGAAGCAGAACACTGTCAGAAGTAGTGCTAGTCGATGAAACCCTCAGGTAAGAAGGCACCCAAAATGTGATCGAAGAAGATGTGCTTTCTCAAAGTAGACTTGGCCATAATGACAGATGGAGTAAAGCCTGCTAGAGTAAAGCTTTCATGATCTTTATTTGCTGACAGGGCTTGACTCAAAAAGAGAATATCTGGCTGCAATCATCAATCAATAATTGGAACTTGGAATGGATAAAGTATGAATAGAGGAAAATTGGATGTTTTCACAATGAAATGGAATGTATAAAGATTGATGTTATAGGTGTTCGTCAGCTGAAGTGGACACATATTGTCCATTTTGACTCAAAAGTTCATGTACTTCACTCTACAGGGAATGTTACAATTAAGAAGAGTGGCGTTTTGAATTTATTCTCACAAAGGACACTTGAAGATATATTTGGAAATCAAATGCTGTCTGTGATGTCCACAGACAAGATAATCCAGTCATTTCAACCATGATTCAAACTTATGTACCCACCACTAAAGCTAATGAAAAAGAAATTGAAGAATTCTGCAGACACTTTCAGTCTATAAATTGAATAAACATGTAATCAAGTTGCAATGATAATTGTTAGCTAGTGGAATGTAAAAGTTAGTACTGAAGGAGGAAGTCCAGGCTGCACTGAAAGCAATAGCCAAAAACAAGTCTCAACAAATTAATGGAATACAAATAGAAATGTTTCAACAAGCTCATGAAACACTGGAAGTACTCACTCATCTATTCCCAGAAATTTGGAAGACAGCTACTAGTCCACCTGACTGAAAGAGATCCATATTTGTACCCATTCCAAGGAAAGGTGACCCAACATATTGCACAACTTATAGAACAATATAAAATTTGCTAGAGATCATTAAACAAAGCTGTCAGAAGTTCAGGCAAGATTTAAATGAGTATGTGGAACAAGAGATGTAACTGCTAGGTCAGATGAATCTTGACTGACAGCAGAAAATATCAGATAGATGTTTACTTGTGCTTCATTGGCTATGCAGAGGCATTTGACCGTGTGGATCACAACAAACTATGGAGAAGAGTGGGAATTCAAGAAAACATCATTGTGCTCATGCAAAGCCTGTACATGGATCAAGAGGTAGTTCAAATAGAACTAGGGAATATTCCATGATTTTGGATCAGAAAGTGTGTGCTTCAGGGCTGGATTCTTTCACCATATTTATTTAATGTATATCCTAAGAAAATAATCAGAGAAGCTATTTATATGAAGAAGAATGCAACATCAGGATTGGAGGAAGGTTTATGTACAACCAGAGATATGCAGGTGACCCAACTTTGTTTCCTGAAAGCGAAGAGTACTTGAAGTACTTGCAGACAAAAATAGAGGAGTGTAAGCTTCAGTCAGTATGGATTAGAACTCAATGTAAAGAATATCATAATCCTTACAACTGGAGCAGCAGGTAATATCATGAATAATGGAGAAAAGATTGAAGTTTTCAAGGATTTTGTTTTCTGGGATCCATAATTGTCGTAGTTACATAATCTGGTGCCAACTTGAGACTATTTAGAGTGAAGGGGTGGAGTTTAGCCTGTCAATCAGGTCATTGCTTGATGATCTCATTTGGAGTCATTACAGAGATAAATAGCTCGCTGGAGGCAGGACAGACAGACTCTGCTTGACTCCCTGTGAGACTATCCTGCTAACAAGACACAAGGAGCTACGCTAGTGCCCTGGAGCTGGAGGAGCCATGTGGATGCTTCCACTGCCACTGGATCCACAAGTCTTTCCATCCACTTGCCTATGATCTTGCATTTGGCATCATTGCATGTTTTGCATGAGTCTGAAGAGGAATTTATAGATTGGCATCAGACATAAGGGCTACATTCGGACTTATGGACTTGATCTGGATTGGGCTGGGATGCTTTCTCAATATGCAATTGCTCTTTTATATAAAGCTCTTTTTTATACACATATGAGTGTCTGTGAATTTGTTTCTGTAGTCTACCCAGACTAACACAATATTCAGTGTTCATGGAAAGAGTAGTCAGAAGATCAAAAAACCCACAAGACTTCTTTAAGGTGTTGTTACTTTGAGGACTAAAGTGTGCCTGACTCAAGCCATGATATTTTCTATTGCTTAATATGCATGTGAAAGTTGGACATTGAATGAAGAAGACTGAAGAAAAATCAAGGCATTTAAACTACAGGGTTGGCGACGAATCTTCAAATGGACTGCCAATAGAATAAACAAATGGACTGAATCTTTGTGGACTGCCAATAAAATAAGCAAATCTGTCTTGGA